CTGTCTTGACCACGAATGGGGCTCCCAGTAGATAATGCCTCCAAAGGCGTAAGCAATGAATGATAGCCAATAATTCTTTCTCATGGGCGATATAGCGCCGCTCTGCATCCTTCAGTTTCCGGCTCTCATACTATACGGGATGCCCTTCTTGTAGCAATACTCCACCAAGTGCATAATCGGAGGCATCCGTTTGCACTTCGAATGGCTTGGCCATGTCAGGGAGGGCCAAGACTGGGCTACTAGACATAGCCATTTTCAATGCGTCGAAGGCCTCTGCCCGCTTGGGGCCCCAATCCCATGGTATGGCCTTCTTGAGAAGTTCTGTCAGCGGCACTGCAATGAGGGAGTAACTTTTCAATAATCGCCGATAGAAGTTGCATAGGCCAAGGAACGACCTCAAGGCATGGATATCCTTAGGAGGCATCCATTCTGTAATGGCCTGAATCTTCTGCTGGTCCATCTTGATCCACCCTTCCTCGATGACATGTTTGAGGAAGTCAATTTGTTTTTGAGCAAAAGAGCATTTGGATAGCTTCGCATATAATTCGTGCTCCCGCAATCGGGCTAGGACCTTCCGCAAATGCTTCAGGTGTTCTTCCAATGTCTGGCTATATACCACAATGTCATCCAAATAAACCACGACGAATTCATCAATGTATTCTCGGAAGACTTGGTTCATCAAGGTGCAAAATGTGGTCGGCGCGCTAGTCAAGCCAAAGGGCATAACCAGGAAGTCGTACGACCCATATCTTGTCACACAGGTCATCTTGTGCTCATCACCCTCTACAATCCGAACTTGCCAATAACTTGTCCTCACGTCTATTTTGGTGAATACCATCACACCACCCAGTCTATCAAACAAGTCTGCCATTAGCGGAATAGGGTACATGTTTTTCACCGTGATTTTGTTTAGAGCCCGGTAATCCATGCAGAGTCATAAACTACCATCATGTTTCTTTTGGAATAGCACAGGGGACCCGTATGGGGACTTGGAGGGCACGATGATCCCTGTGCCTAGCATTTTCGTCAATTGTCTCCGAAGCTCCGTGAGTTCGGGTTGTGACATTCTGTACGGCGCCCGAGCAGGTGGCTTCTCACCCGGCACCAACTCAATCTCATGGTCCATAGTTCTCTTAGGCGGAAGATGCTTTGGCATATCTTGTGGCATGATGTCTTCAAATTAAAGAAGCAACTCCTTCACGGGTGCAGGAATGGGACCCGAGGAGCGTTCTATATCTTCCATGCAGAGGGTAGCCAGGAACGTGGGTTCATGTCTTTTTACCCCCTTCTTCAACTGCAAGGCCGAGATGTTCTCGGCTTCCATCTTTATGGGAATGCATAGAATAATGCAGGGCTTAGCTCCATTTTCTCCTATCATCAGTAGTAAGTCTGCATACGGTGCGAGCATGGTATTGGTCTGTCTCAGGAATTCCAACCCCACTATCAACTCGAAGTCATCTATGATCACCACGCGCAGGTAGAACTTTCCCTCATAAGGGCCAAGTTTCACCGGTACATCTTTGGCTATTCCACCCACTGGCTGAGGTGGTGAGTTGATAACCTTGACACGACCTTTGCCCTTTCCTACAACTAGGCCAAGGCGCTCCACCTGAGTTGAGGCTAAGTAGTTGTGGGTAGCACCCGTATCGATCATCGTCTGAATGGGCTTGCCATTTACCTTCATTTCAACGAACATTAAGGTCCTCTCTTGATGAGGAAGAGTCCTCTCGTTCGCCTTCTTTTTCCCTTTCTTGGTGATTGGATAGGGGTCCTTCTTCTTACGGATACCAGCACTGGTTCCCGCTATGGGCTCAGAAATAAAGCCAAAAATGGCATTGAATGCACCAACTGGTTCGGTCTGGTCCGCATCATTAGCATCGTAATCCGTCCCATCCTCAAAAGCTTGATGGGCGTTCATCTGTGCATGTGGGCATTCAATATTCCAATGTGGTCCGTCGCAATGACGGCATCCTGAGGGGGGTTTCCTCCCCCGATCATTGTTGTTAGATGCAGTGCTAGTACTGCTTGAGGAGGGAGCCTTAGATTTGGTTGCACTCCGGTCTCCTCCACTTCTGCTAGGGCCACCAGTGTTCAGCTGGCCTCCTTTGTATCCTCTTCGGACAGGCTGTTGAGGCATGTCCTTCCGGGCTTCCACTTGATAATCCCCAAGGCACTCTGCTGCTTGGATTGCCTTAGGTAANTTCTTTCCTTTCTCTCTCTCTTTTTCATCACATTTCTCTTCTATTTATAGAAAATATATTTCGAAAATTTCATTTTTTTAATTAAAAATAATTTTCACTTCCCATTTTTCTTATTTTTTTTAAAAAATAATTCCCCACTTTCCTTTACTTTTANATTTGCAACTCCATGCGGGCATAAGGTTTCAACCCTTTTAGGAAGGTGAAGAGTTTGTCTTTGTCCCCCATGTCGTGGATGTTCAGCATGAGCGTAGAGAATTCCCACACGTAATCCCCTACTGATTTGGTCTGGTGGAGCTCCCGTAGCTTTCTCCTAGCATTGTACTCAACATTTTTGGGGAAAAACTGTAGGCGTATGGATGCCTTCAGTTCTGCCCATGTCTCGAGGGCATCTTCACCAGCCTTGATGGCTTCGTATTTCACCNCTTTTTTTACTTTTAATATATTTAAAATCTCACTTTTTTACTTTTTTTTTTTATTTCCCACTTATTTTACTTTTCTTTTTTTATTTCCCATTTACTTTTACTTTTTTTTTAAAAAAATCAGATACCCTTACTTTTATTTTTTAATTCCAACTTTATTTTACTTTTTATTTTTTAAATTTCCACATTCTTTTACTTTTATTTTTTTAATTTTCCACTTTCTTTTACTTTTTTTTATTAAACAATTTCTACCTACTTTTACTTTTACTTTTAAATTTTATATTTCTAATTTTCCTATTTTTTAATTCCCATTCGAAATTTTTTTTTTTTTTTAAATAATAATAATAATAATAATAATAATAATAATAATAATAATAATTTTTATTTATTTTCGGTATTTAATTCATTTTATTTAATAATAATAATAATAATAATAATAATAATAGTAATANCTCACAATACCCTCGATTTGGTTTCCACCTCATCGAAGCAGACCTTGTAAAGCAGCATTGACAATGTTGAGCTGGCTTGTCAAGTTGTCTATAGTTTGTTGCATGGTAGTCACCCAGTCTGCCTCTTGTGCCCTATTGGCTAAATCCTCGGTGCGCTCCTGTTGGAGGACCTCAAATTTACCAAACTTTTCGGCTGCCTATGTGGCTGCCATTTGCCGGTATCCTTCAGAGTCGTGACTGATGTTTTCTATGTCAACTTCGGCCTAGATCAGTCTGCAGTCCAGGTCGTCCAACCTTTGCACTAGGTTGGTCTTTAGGTCAGGCACCATTTCCACGATGGGCCATAATGCATCAACCGTTCCCTCAAGGGTAGCGATGTGATCCCCATAATTCACCATGGTCAGAAATGGTGGTAATTGCAATGTAATCCCTTGTCCGATGTCGAGCCTAGGCTCTGATGCCAACTGTTATGCGGTGCCTTCCTGAAGTTCCTTGGAAGGGCGACGTAAGGCTAAGCAACCGATGTTAGTGCGATTGTTGTCCGCCAACTGAGGTCCCCTTCGTACGCTAGACTAGATTGTCAGTGTCGTACGGGAAAACCAATGTCGTGATCAATTGAAAGAGAGAGCAGAAAAGAGAATTGAGAATGAAAGAAAGCTTGATTGCATTGAATGAAAGCTATTACAGAAAAACAACACGGTGTCGGGGGGAGAGACACCAGTACAGAGAATTGTTTGCTTGCTTGAAAGTTTGATTGCTTGGTCCCCCTTAATAATGCTTAAAAAAAAATAAACCAAAGTTATATGACTAGACCTATGAAAGCTGGAAAATCACACTTCAAGAAAATGCTGCAAAACTACTCTATATTTACAATGAAAAGGACTTAGTCTTCTACAAAGCAGAAACAAGTCCGTTGGCAGCAACTTTGTCTTTAGCATCAGGGT